CTTCATCATCCTCAAGTACACTGTTGGGATCCAATAGAAGCTCACATTTTATAGAACCCATAGGCAAAGTTATGAATATATCTATCTATACGAAGACGTTGCGTTGGGTTTTATAAAAAACTTATCGACCTTGGAAGTCTTCTAAAAACTGCAAGAGCAAAAGCTAAAAGAGTGACAAAGCACTGCAATAAATGTAAAAAAACTTATTGTCTCCAATGTTTTTATGAAATTCTATTGCATAAATGAAGCCATTTTCTTATTGAACATTTTTATTTTTTTCAACCACATGTTTTACGTTTTTACGTAGGAAATGTTTTACGATTTTTCTTCTTATTAGTGCTCTATTGACAAATCCTGACAAATAGAGCAAACTAACTGAGAAGTCCATGAAGTTAGAGCTTATAGAAAGAGACAAAGGCGCGTGTACCGTTTACGGTACACGGACGTGACGAACCCATGCGGCGTGTACTGTATTCGGTGCACTGGACAGCTAACGTGTTAAAATAGTTAAAACGTGGTATTCGGCATGGGTGTAAATTTTGATATGTGGGTAGTGAAACAGTGAACTCCAATGGAGGGTGGTATAAATTGACTCTGGCTAAAGGATTGCCACTATCCTCGAGGTAAATATCTGAAAATGTAGAAAGCACGAGATCAAATGTTTCAGCGTTTTTGTTTTGTACATGATTATATTGTTTTTTAAAATTTTGTTGTTATTAAATTATTCAAAGCTAAAAATTCGCAAATAAAATTATAGGAAGAACAATGTGAATTTACGGGATTCAAAAAACAGCCATTGTCACTTTTAGACCATTTTATATTTGGCATATTAAAATCCCCAACCAGAAGAGCATCGGAATGTTCAGATATAATATTACTAGAATTTTCTAGAAACTGTTCCAAGTCTGTCTAATTTATAGGTGGTATCTGTTTATGACTTTGCCTTAGCATATGGTCTGACACAACTTTTCTTCGCTTACCCGGATTCCACATGTGGAGGATTATAAACCATCCTTGTTGGACTTTCTTTTTTTTTATAGGAGAGGTGGCAAACGAGCATGCGGCTCACCTGATGGTAAGTGACTACCGCCGCCCATGAACAACCGCAACACCAGGGGAATTGCAGAGGCGTCTCTAAGTCGTACTTATTATATATTTATTTCTCTTGACCTTTCATCCGGACAGATATCAGGTTTCCGTCGACGCTCCTTTAGGCTCGTCGGATCATTGTCTTGTCCGGAAAGTGGTGTCACACAACGTCGCGATTGCATTCTGCAGGCTGCCGCCGTGTTTAGCACTATAGGTCGGCCGATTGGGACAGGATGCGGTCTTTTTTTGCATTCTAACCTTGGAGGAGACGCCCCGTGTAGTGGCGGGTAAGAATACGCACTACCCTTGTATATCCACCATATTTTGTATCCCACCATATCTTTCCATGGGTGTCGTAAGAGACGAGGGAAACTGAGGCCGAAGATCTTTCTGCAGCATCTTTCTGATAACAGCAAACCAACAATAAAAAAACTGCGGTTGCCAACCCGCTCGCCAAGCGCGGCAACTATGACAATATAACCCCCATGATTAAAGTTACGAAGAGACGGCCTTCAGTCCCCGGCGAGGTCGGTTCTTAAGAGGAGGTTGAGTTGCCACCTAAGACGACTCGACCTGGCAACATATAAACACACGCTCCCTGAGCACTGACGAAACGATCCTGGAGCTGGAAGAAGAGATAGACAAGTTGCGCTAGAATATTATAGGATTATCTGAGGTCCGAAGAGAAAAATGTGACTTATCGGACTTACGCTTTTCGAGTCGCCTACCTCTTAATATTCAAACTGTGATTGCTTCTCAGATAACAGACTTATCGTTGGAGAAACTAGCTGAACTCGCAGACAGGGTGTACGAGATTGCGCCGATGAACCCTCAAGTTGTCAGCACCTCTACTACCATGCCGGAAAACCGTAAAAGCATGGCCAAGCAGATAGCACAGAGGCAAGTAGCACTTCTCACTACTCAACTAAACAGGCAACGACGTTCCCGCTCACACTCAAGATCGCGATCCAACTCGAGGAAATTCCGACCCAAAAGGCCTCAACCTGATCACCCGCACTGCTTTTATCATTACACCTACGGGCGCAAGGCGAACAAGTGTAAGCAGCCTTGCACATTTAAGGCGGAAAACTTATAGGTTGGTCGCAAGTAGCGGCCAACGACTACCCTTCTTCAACAGGCCGTTTATTCATCTCAGATCAGAAATGCAGTTCCTCGTGGGCACTGGTTCAGACCTGTGTGTTTTTCCCCGGTCAGCAGTCAAGACGCCTTGTTCGAAATCCAGGTATGACCTCATAGCTGCTAATAAGACAGTCATACACACCTACGGACCAATACCGATACACCTCAATTTAGGATTGAGACGGAACTTCACTTGGAACTTCACAGTAGCCGATGTGACACGACCGATCATCGGAGTTGACCTCCTCAGCCACTATAATTTACTCGTTGACTGTAGGAATCAACGATTAGTCGACAATGTCACTACTCTCTCGGTCAACGCCGTAGCTCGCACATCAACGGAAGACATCGCTTCGGTGAAGTTAGTCACCGGAGAAACCGAATTTCAGCAGATACTGCGTGAATTTCCAGGGATAACTCGCCATCCAGGTATGCACTTACCATACAAACAGTACTCTGCACCATATCAGGACGACTCCAGGACCTCCAGTAGCCAGTAAGCCTCGACGCCTGGATCCACTTCGCATGCAAGCTGCGAGGCAAGAGTTCTCAGACATGCTCGCCAGCGGCACAGCCAGACCATCGGAAAGCGCTTGGTCTTCTCCCCTTCACATGGTAAAGAAAAAAGACGATATTTGGAGGCCATGTGGAGACTACAGAGCACTGAACTATAGCACTATACCTGATCGATATCCCATCCATCATATCCACGACTTCTCGTATCAACTTACAGGCTGTTTTGTCTTTTCTACCATCGACTTAGTCAAGGCGTACAATCAGATTGCTGTCAATCCAGATGACATTATGAAAACGGCGATCACGACTCCATTTGGATTGTACGAATTTCCGTTCATGAATTACGGTTTAAGAAACGCAGCACAGACCTTCCAGAGGTTCATTGACGAGGTGTTGCTAGGACTCGACTTCTGCTACGGATATATAGATGACATCTTGGTATTTTCGGCATCCATCCAAGAGCACAAGAACCATCTGCGGCAACTCTTTGAACGCCTAAAGCAGTACAGCGTTGTGGTATGGTAAGTATACACTGCCAAGTGTATACTTGGCCAACCAGAAATCACGTTCCTGGGATACCACGTGTCAGCTGCAGGTACGAAACCACTTGAGTCCAAAATCGAAACTATCAGGCAATACCCCGTTCCAAAAACTTCTACCGTCGCTTTGCAACTTCAAGCACCGTTGAATGACGTTTTCAGTGGCTCAAAAATCAAAGGGTCTCATCCGATAGTCATGACTCCGCAATTACTTCGAGCTTTCGAAGACTGTAAGGAATCACTATCTCAAGCAACTCTTCTCGCTCATCCACACCCAGCTGCAGAACTAGCAATAAGTGACAAATGCGTCTGAAACTGCCATAGGCACCGTGCTTCAACAACGGAAAGGCCTAACAACTTTAAGAAACAAAGTGATGAAAGAATATTGTCTCATTAATGGATGAAGAGATCGCCAAACAAATTGGAGCTACAGGGCGGTTGGACCCATTTAAGATCACCGCTATCGGGAACGCTACCCTCGATTCACCGGACTCCCGAAGAGTCAAAGTTTCGCTGAAGTCTCCACAGAAAAAGGGTGCCATTCAGAGCACGCACGGTCGCCGGCCTAAACTTGGGGCCACAGACTGTGTGTGCAGCAGATATAGCACAGTGCAACCATTTAAAAGACCTAAAGGAGCAATTAACATATGAATTCGGCAACCCAAGGATCCTGATAGGTCAGAACAGTTGGAGACTTCTGATAGCCACTCAAGTCCGCAGAGGTCCGCCGCACCAGCCAATCGCCTCGCTCACAGAACTAGGATGGGTGCTACACGGGGCACACACTAAAGCCCCGTAAGTCCAAAAGTTATAAACTATAGATAAAGTGGATGACTGGCGTTGGGTACCTACCAAATGAAACATAGCTGACACCGCTACGAGGGACGTACCACCGAACTTCAACTCAAATCACGAGTGGTACAACGGCTCATCGTTTCTTTATAAAGACCCGTCAGCATGGCCGACCGAAAGACCCACGTCATCCGAACCTACCGGTGAGGAAAGACCCCTCACCATTACAGAATCGCATAGAGCTCCGCTATTCCGAGAAGCCGTTCCCGATCCAATGAAGTTTTCAAAATGGGAACGCTTAGAGCTAGTTCAGACATGGCGGAATCCGTGCAAATCGCGCGGTTAGACTGCGCGGATCTTATTTACATTAGCGCCTATAATTCGTTCATACCTGTCCGCGCGGATTGACAATCCGCGAGGCTACCGCCACTCAACGGCTAGAAAATGAATTCGCGCGGTCGCCGCTCGGATCTATTTACTTGACGTACCTAGAGCGCGTTCAGTTGCTCTGCGGAAGCCGCGGACGGTGACAATGGATCGCTTCGACACCGAGCTATTCATCGATGAGGTGGAAAAGAGACCTGCTTTGTGGGACATCCAATGTGCAGAATATTCTAATAAAATTATTAGAAACGGAGCTTGGCAGGAGCTGGTGGAGATTTTTGGAGAAAATGAGGATTCTTTGGAAAAAAAGGTTCTTTTTGGTCAGTAAGTATTTAAGGGTAGTTTACATATTTTGTAATTGACAGTCCACCCCAAATAACTAAACTATATAAAAACGTTGTTATTGTGATTGGAGGTAAGTATCGGGCGCGGGAAAAATATCACGTTACCATAGTAACGGAGTAGCTAGTGACTATGTGCAACCAACGCGACGCCATCTTGAGTTTAGTTATTTGGCGCGAACTGTAACAAATTTTAAATTTATATTTTTGTGTCTTGCCATTCTACACGACCCTCATTTACAAAGTAATTAGCATATTTGTCTCTAATGTTTAATGATGACGGTGTACCCCTTCCTGCATGTAATGTATTAAGATTACTCATTGGCGCAGTATATAAAGTATCTTCATACTGTACACCATCTCTAGTTCTAACAAAATTGTGTAGCACGCAACAGGCCTTTATTGTCTTCGGCAAAGTCTATATTAACGTATATAGGCCTATGAAAAATGCGCCACTTGTTTGCCAGAATTCCAAAAGTGCATTCAATATAACGTCGAGCTCTTGATAACCTGTAATTAAATATTTTTTTCTCGTATGAAAGCCCTCTACCTGCATAGGGTCGCATTACAGTTTCGGATAAACCAAACGCTTCATCGCCAACTATGACGTATGGCAATGGCGTAGGATCTGTGTTAAATATTGGTTTAGGTTTTGGTATGTGTAATGACTTTTCTATTAATCTTTTATAAAATACCGAATTTTTAAAAATTGCAGAATCACTACTATTTCCATATGATCCAATATCTATGAAAGAAAAACAATAGTTACTCTCACAAAGTGCCAACAGCACTATGGAAAAAAAGTTTTGTAATTGTAATACAAAGATCGAGAATCATTGGGTTTTGTGCTCCTTATATGCTTGCCATCTATGGCGTCAATGCAATTGGGGAAATTTGCATATTTTTCAAAATCTGTAGCTATTTTCTTCCATATATCTTCGCTGGGTTCAGGCATGACATTTTTTGCGACTTTTTCCCACAGAACTTCACATACTTCACGGACAATTCCTGTAATTGTAGATTTGCAAAGACGAAAGTTGTAATGCAGTTCTCCAAAGGAACAACCAGTACCCAGATATCTGAAACAATATAATCTTGATCTGTATCGTTTTGTTAAAAAAATTGTAAGCTTTTCATTTATACATTATAAGTCGCGGGCACCAACTAGTTGAATATAATGAGTGTCAATTATTTTATTTAAAATTTTTCAAACTTTTAATGAGTGTCTTCAATTATTCGACCGCTCCTGTATTTATAAGTCTACAATTTAGTTAAAGATAGTGATGTTTGTTTCAGGTGTAACATTACAAAAAAAGTGGAAGAACATGCGGGATGCTTATAATAAGGAATTCAAGAAAGGCAAATCAATTCCTTCTGGTTCTGGTGCATGTAAAGGTTCAAAATACATTTTGACCGGCTTTCTTTTCTTCAGAAGACGGTAGAAAACATACATGAAGCTAAAAGTGAAGGAATTCAAAACATTGACCAAAACCAAGATAATTTTGTTAATGCACGTGAAATACAATCAGTACCCAATAAAAGGAAGAAGACTAAAATTACTTCAGAAGAGCGATTGGCTGACATATTAGTAAATAGCATTGAATCAAGGTATAAAATACAGAGACAATTACAAGAAAGTATGTCAAAGCAAGATGATGATGATAAGCTTTTTTGTATGTCATTGTATAAAGAGTTAAAAAAAGTCCCAGAAAATAAGCGTTTGGCTACTAAAATTGAATTACTCCAGGTAATACAGAAAGGGCAGAAATTACCAGCGCCTATTCATATCACGAGCCAGCAGAACACGCCTAATGCAGTATTTTGGCAAAACCAACAATATTCAAACCCACAAGGATATTTTACTGGATATTCTACAATCGTACCAGGAGTCTCCATCGCCTTTATCATGCAATAGCACTGACGACTCACAGTCTGCTATAGTACAAAATATATATTCTGATGTATAAAATAAATATCTTACCTTAATGTAATCACGAGTTTTTCTTCTGGGGCCACGCTTGACCTCATATGGGTATCATTAGATGCAATTTGTTCAGATCATTTTTAATAATTCATCAAATGAATTTATCGACATTCTCAAATAATTGAAGAATTTTGGTTCAAAACTTCTTAATTTTGGATATAAAGTCTGAAACTGACCATGGGTGAGCCGATCACGTAATATTGGATGCACCCAATACTGCCGTTTCTTATTTCTTTTTTTTTACGGAGCTACAAGTACACACATATTGCTTCTTCGACTTCCATGATTGGACTGGAACGACTGTCACTCTATGCGGATTACGGCACTCCGCATTTACATCCGCGCCTGTCTGAACACTTGCGTTTAGAACCGCGCGATTTGCATCCGCACGGATTCCGCCATGTCTGAACTAGCTCTTATTGCGAGCTACGGCCAGAGTGCTTCAGTTTATAACATTCTGCCGCAAAACAACAGACAGGACCTTTTACAAAAGGACCAAAAGGAGTAAAGAGGAAGATCCCGACTGGAGAAAATCGAAATATAATCCGCGACACCTCGCGCAGCCTCCCAGTCAAGTGAAAAATAGAGATGTCAACAGGTACATCACACTCGAGGCCGAATTCATCAGAGAGGCCGAAAAGCTCCTAATACGTGTCATCCAAGAAGACTCCTTCAAACAAAAAATAGCCGTGCTCCGTAACAATAAAAAGGTCGCCCATGAAAGCCGCTTACGACCGCTCCAAATAGAGTTGAAAGACGGGAGCATCGCTCTACGAAGTCGCATAGCCGCCGTGAAGGGAGTCTCGGAAGACTTGAAAGGGGCCAGCTATATTGGATGGTGATCATTACGTCACGCAATTATACATTGATTGGACGCATCGTACTCTGCATCATTGTGGAATCGAACCTACCATTAACGAGGTTCGACAGCACTACTGGGTGATCCGACTTCGACCCACCACGAAAAAGATAGTGAGTCAATGCATAAAGTGTCGGATTAAAAAGGCGCAACCACTAGCGCCAGCCACCGGTGATCATCCCAGTACACGTCTCGCTCATCACCAGAGACCGTTCACCTTCACCGCTTTGGGCTACATTGGGCCACCGGAAATTCAAAACTAGCGGGAGGCTCATGAACCAGTCCTCATAGCTGACGGCCAGTTACCTCGTAACACCTGGCTACGAGGAAGGATTGAAGCAATATTCTCCGGTGCGGACGGACAGATCCGCACTGTGGAGGTATGCACCGCAAACGGCCTATTCAAGAGGCCAACCAAGAAACTCGTGCCGCTGCCAAAGTAGAAGCAACGTCGCTCACCGGAATGGATGCAGCGTCGCTGTGATGAGATCGTCGCGACGCTGCACGGCGAGAGAGATGTTCGCGACGGCCTAACAACTTTAAGAAACAAAGTGATGAAAGAATATTGTTTTGTATAAAAAGTGAAATTACCAACGAAATCGAGTAAATAGTTTGTTAATATAGTTTTACAGTGTGTTTACAACTCTTAATATATTTGTATAGAATGTCGTTTTGATAATAGTTAATATAAACAACTTTAATTGTTTAAGAAAAAATCGACCAATCACAGCGCGTCGTATCGTATAACTTTCTGGAAATTTAATTAACTATGCAATAGTTTATACTAAAAATAATGAGAATATTTTTGTGTTCTAAAAAGTAGGACGTGAGCGACTCGCGGAGTATCTTCGACAACATTTACTCCGGAGAGTTACGCCCGTCCGGCACAGTAAGGATTGGGAACCACTTGCTTTTTACTCTCATAAGCTCAGCAACGCACAGCGGAATTACAGCCCCTACGACCGAGAGCTACTGGCTGTCTATGAACCCATCAAGTACTTCTGCCATATGGTCGAGGCCAGAATATTTACAATATTCACCGACCATAAGCCTCTTATCTTCGCCTTCTCAAAGAGCAAAGACAAATGCACCCCGAGACAGTTCAGACACCTTGACTACATTACTTAGTTTACGACAGACTTGAAATACTTACTTGGTAAGGAAAACTTAGTTGCTTTTACGCACTTTATAGAGTCGAGGTCACTACAGCTGTGGACTACAACGATCTTGCACGAGCTCAGGACAAAGATCCAGAACTGCAAAATCTATTTCTTCATGGCTCTACCCTGCAATTGAAAAGGATCAACACTATAAATGGTAACTTACCTCTCTACTGCGACACTTCTGTGCAACCGCCATGTCCTTACGTTACTCACCAGTTCAGGAAACAAGTTTTTGATACAATACACAGCTTACACCATCCTGGAAGTTCAGCTAATGTGCGATTGGTCTCACAAAGATACGTATTGCCAGGGATACGTAAAGATTGTAGAGTGGTCTCGACAATGCTTGTCATGCCAGAAGAGCAAAATCACCCCTCATACCATATCCCCGCTTTCATCTTTCCTCACTCCCTCGTCGAGGTTTTCCCATATTCACCTCGATATCGTAAGGCCCTTAATTTTGTCTTCTGGTTACAGATATTGCCTTACCGTCATCGACCGTTTCACGCGATGGTCTGAGGCATACCCCATGATGACGTCACGGCGGAGACCTGCGCAGCTACTCTGGTGTCCGGCTGGATAGCCCGATTCGGCTGTTCTGCACTGGTGACTACAGACCGTGGTCTCCAATTCGAGAGCCATCTCTTCAAAGCTCTCACAAAGTTGGTTGGTGCGCGTCACTTACGCACAACCACCTATCACCCATCTGCGATCGACTGGCGCGTTATTATGGGGCCAATAATGCTCGGGACGAGCATGTCTTAGGAGGGGGCAGTGTTGCACGCCACTATTAATGTCTTGTACATGGCAACACTAGTTACACTAGCGCCCTCTAGTGTCGAGTAAATGAAAGTATTGCGCGCCACTATTAATGTCTTGTACATGGCAACACTAGTTACACTAGCGCCCTCTAGTGTCGAGTAGCAGAACTAGGAGTCGAGATCCTTCCAGAAATTTCGGGACCGATATGTACTCGAACATTCTAGATGTCGCTACAGTAGAAGGTTCTGGAAACTATCTGAGGCCCTATATAAGGCCGCTATAGACCACGACCGTGGCAGTATTGAATTGGCGATACAAGAGAATACTTCGAAGCGAAATAACGGCGAACTGTGTTTTATTATTAGTGTGATTTTAAATTGTAATTAGTGTTGTGTAATTAAATAGTCAATTTTGGTAATTCACTCGGCAGTTTTTAATTGTCTCGAACCTCAAGCTCGTAACAATTGGTGTCAGAAGTGGGATCAAATATGCCGATTTTACCTAAAGACGACACGGAGGGTATCCGTACCCGAAGTCAACGCCAACAGGAGACGGACCAGAGACGAATTGGTAATGCAACGCCGCAAACGTCGGAGGGGCAGCTGCTAACCACGGAGGCCGGCCCGTCAGCAGCTCCTGCATCTGCAGCACCTGACTTAGGTGCTCTGATGATGATGCTGCAGGATCTGGCTCGCCGACAGGAGGAACAGGCTCGCCGACAGGAGGAACAGGCTCGCCGACAGGAGGAACAGGCTTGCCGACAGGAGGAACAGGCTCGCCGACAAGAGGAACAGACCCATCGGTTGGAAGAGCAGCTGCAGCGCGGTATGGAAGAACAGATGCTCCTCAGGAAGGACCTTCACGCTACCTTCGGGAAAGAGATAAAGGAGGTGAAGGATAGGGTTGCTCAACATGACAACCGCCTGTCGGAAGCTGAAACCCGAATCGACCAAATGAACAATCGGGTTGACAACGTGATGGCTGATGTGAAGAAGACGCTGGACGACCTCAAACTTGGGGATGGAATTACAGCTCCCGTAGTAGCTACAACACCTTCGCTACGTGGATTCAAAGTGCCGCCGTTCGACGGGAGTTCTTCCTGGTCGGCCTACAAAATCCAGTTCGAGGCTGTCATGAAAGCGAACGGCTGGAATAAAAGTCAGGCCATGACTGCTCTCACCCTAGGCCTACGCGACCAGGCCTTAACTGTTCTGGAAGCTCTCGGTAAGGAAGTAACTTACGAGCAGCTCCTTGAGGCATTGGAGGCAAGATATGGCGATGCTCACCTGGAACACGTCTTTCGTGCGCAGCTCAAAGATCGCGTGCAACGCAGTAACGAAAACCTGCAGCAGTGGGCCCTTGAGGTGGAGAAGCTGGTTCGAAAAGCGTACCAGTTTGTACCTGCGCTCATTGTAGGGAACCTGGTGCAGACATTCATCGACGGCATCCGCGACCTTGAAGTCAGAGCTGCTGTGAGGCTCGGGCACCACGAGACGCTTAAGGACGCCTTGACCCATGCACTGGAGGTTCATCGTTCCCACCGCGTCAGGGAGGTTGCAGCAGCTACAGTTCAGGACCGCAATAAGGGCTACAGCCCTAGGTGCTACGGCTGTGGGGAAAGGGGCCATCTTCGATCCAGCTGCCCTAAACGAACTGTAGAAAGGGGAGGTGGTCGATATCGAGAGGGTAGTGTGGCTGACAGCACCGCCCAGCAACAGCAGGGAAACTGGCGGGTGCTGGCTGATGTTAAAAGAGCCCCAAGGATTTCGATCTCACAAACCCATGATGGGAACAGCCTAATCATCAAGGGCGAAGTCAACGGAACGCCGTGTAAACTGACCATAGACACTGGAGCCTCTCGCACGGTTATCAGTTCCCAACTTATAAGTGGGTTCCTTGGGGACTCCGCATACAACCGAGAACGCATTAATTTGGTGACAGCCACCGGTCAGCGCATACCCGTCCGTGGAGAGAAGGAGATGGAGTTGAAGCTAGGCAACATGATCTACCTGCATAATGTCATCGTGGCTGATATAATGGACGACTGCATCCTGGGCCTAGACTTTATGAGGAAGAATTGTTGTGAGATCGACGTTATGCAAGGTGTTTTGAAATGTGGACAAGAGGAACTTTTCGTGGAAGGGGCGTTACCAGGGAATGTGTACAGCCTTAAGAAGATTGTTCTTCCGCCGAGATCGGAAACGATTGTGCCGGTTAGACTTCCACGGAATCCTGGGCAAACTCTTCGTTGTGTACTCGTGGAAAGGGTAGACAATGACCTTCCATGGAAAGTGGCTCGAACCTTGGTCAGAACCGCCGACATCTCAGGAGTACGTGTACTGAACCTTTGTGATCAGGAACAGATTATAGAAAAAGGCACATTGGTTGGTACTAGTGAGGAAGTGGATTGGTTGCGTCGGTGCGAATATCTATCGACTGAGACCCCCAGCAAGGATGGACAAACTAGAGTGACCACACTTTTAGAAGACTGTCGCAGCGT